ACCATCGATTTCGGCCTCGCGGGGCTCTCTGGGTAGTGTTCCTGGAAGCGTCCGGAGCCATGTTGGAGGGCTCCTAAAACCTCTACCACGTGCTTCGGCGACATGGGTCGAAGGTGGGAACCATTCCTGGTGCTGAAACAGCACCAGGGTCCGTCCAGAGCCGCTCGGGAGATGCCCCAAAGCGGCTCTGGAGAGGCCCGGGGGGGGGGTCCCCCCATGGCGACTCAAGGCACCTGGCCAGAGGCCCGCGGCCCCGTACCCCGACATATATATATATATATATATATATATATATATATATACACACATATATATACATACATATATATGTTGAGATATACATATACATATATATACATATACATATACATATACCTATACATATACACATACAAATACATATACATATACATATACATATACATGTACATAAACATATACCTATACATATACATATACATATACATATACATATACATATACATATACATATACATATACATGCATACATACATACATGCATGCATGCATCCATACATACATACATGCATGCATACATGCATACATACGCACATATATACATACATACATACATACATACATACATACATACATACATACATACATACATACATACATACATACATACATACATACATACATACATACATACATACATACATGCATGCATACATACATACATACATACATACATACATACATACATACATACATACATACATACATACATACATACATACATACACATATACATACCTACACACATACATACATACATACATACATACATACATACATACGTACGTACGTACGTACGTACGTACATACATACGTGTATACATACATGCGTACATACATACATACATACATGCATGCATGCATGCATGCATGCATGCATGCATACATACATACATACATATATGTACCAGTCTCTGCAAGTCTCGTATTCTTGACTAGCGGCCTAGGCATAGGTCTAGGCCTGGAGAACTACAGGAAACAGCAGATGGGCAGCGACAGCAAGAACAGGCTGCCGGCACAAAAGAAGATCTGTGTCTGGTTCCACTCATCCCTCATTCCAAAAATAGCTCCAAGACGCCCAGAGGCCCACCAAGACGCTCCCAAGAGGCCCCCGAGAAAGCCCGAGAGTCCCGAAGAGCCCTCCAAGACAGCCCAAGAGGCCTTCCGAGCTGGCCCAAGAGGCCCCTGAGACGCGATGAGGTTTTCATGAGGCCACCAAACGTCCCCAGGAGGCGACTCAAAGGTTCCCCAGATGCCTCCAAGAGGGGCACCACATCCCCGGAAAGATCCAGGATTGAATACGAGGCCCTTCAGACGGCCGAGGAGGGCACAAAGAGGCTGGCGAGAGCCTCCTGAGCTTCGACCCTTTGGAGGCTCTCAAGATGGGTGCCACACCGTCGGCTGAAGCCACGCGGTATTCAGACGTCGCTGGCTGCCACGTCTACAACCACCAGCCTTATGCATGGGAAGTTGTTGTGGCTCGCCTTGCAGACGAACCTGGAGCTGGTAATAGAATCAAGAAGTTCGAGGTGGTAATGCAACTGTGGACAAGGTTCAGTAAGCAACCGACGGTAATAAGATGTGCCACACATTGTTTGGATAGCACTGGGTCCGATTCCCAGTTGAAAGACTACGTACATGTCCTGACTAAGTGGGAAGCCGAGTAGATTGACCAAAGCCGTTCCCCAGGGTTGCGTGCAGAAGTTCAACCGTCGGCGTCTATCGAAGAGGAAGTGTTCGCGACTGGACTTTCAGAGGCGACATCAAAGGCTGCACGACCAGTTCCGAGTGCCGAGTACGTCATCGACACGAAGTCTATATTCGAGCGCATGGGGAAGCCAAAGGGCACGAGGGAGCTCATGTGAACGCGGACGGCTCCTGAGCTGACAGCCTACGCGAGGTGCTGTGACGCACTCGGCTCTGCAGCAGGGCCACTGTTCATGATATGGTGACATGAAGGTCGAGACTAAATGCTGAGCTGGACCTGACCAGCTACGCAGGTAAACTGATCTGTTGCGCTGCCTTTGAGAGCAGCCGCTTCAAAAGAGATTGCACACAGGAGACCCGACAGCGAGGGAAGAAGGTGTACGACATGATGTTCGGAGATTACCCCAGTCTGGGTGAGGCTGGAGACAATTCTAGGGCGCAAGTAAGGTGCAAGTCCGTCGCTGACTTTGACGAATCCTGAGCCCCGCCACTGAACTTGAAGAGCCCCAGGGTCCCCCACCCAGGCTGCACACTCAGCTGCCATGTCCCCAGGCATGTGGGAATTTATCTGGACTGACTGCGGAGGACCCCTATCGCTGTCACAATTTCGGCCCGAGGCCCTTGAGCTCTTTCGAGACAGGCCACACATTTAAGAATTCGCCGGCCCAACGGGCCAGGGCGTGCTAAGATCTCCGGTACCTGGTTAACAGTATTTCTAGTTCGCGCGCGCGGGGCGGCCCCTGGGGGTCCCCGGGCGAAAAGTACCCCGGCAAGGTCCCGGCAAGTCCCCGGCAAGTCCCCGGCAAGTGCGGGTCAGAGATGCCGGAGTTCTGTTTCGGAGCCCAAGAGGGCTCCAGATCGGTCCAAGAGGGCCCCGAGAAGCTTTCTAGACGGTCCAAGAGAGGCCCGAGACGGCCAAAGATCGCCCGAAGACGCCCCAGATGGCCCCAAGACAGCCCAAGAGGCCTCCAAGACGCTCCAAGGGCCTTCCAAGAGGCCTCCGAAGAGGGCCCCAAGTCGCCAAAATCGTTGGTTTTCATTGGTTTTTTCGATGTTTTTTGCGTTCTGGCCTTTTGGCTTCCGGACGCTCCAAGAGGGCCCAAGAGGCCTTCAAGACTGCTCCAAGACGGCCCACGAGGCTCCCAAGACGGCCCCGGAGCGGCCCAAGAGCGCCCCCAAGGCGGCCCAAGTGCCGCCCAAGGCGGACCAAGAGGCCCCAAGACGGGCCCAGCAGGGGCTCAAGAAGGGAACCGAGAACTGAAAAATCGAGCCCTCCGCCCGAGAAGGCGCCCAGGACCCCGAAATAGGC